TCCAAGCATTTACAGTGTCTGTTGTGTGCCCACTGGACGCCAGGGACACCCTGTTCCCTCCCTTCCCTGGTGGATTATTACCCCTAGGCCTGGAACTCAGGCCTATCGCCAAGGAACCAGAACTGGCCAGTTGCTATGGCAACCCTGTGCTACTCAGACACATGGGTGCTCCTGCCGGTTGCCATGACGCCAGCCAGACACCCACCCACCACCAGGTCTGTGTGTGGTGGGTGCAGGAGGAAGATGGAGGGAGGGGAGGGCTCCGGGGACAGAAGAGGGAACTGAGGCTTAGAGAGCCATGGTGAGTCTGGTCCTCAGCCACATGGTCAAAGGGGGTCTCTCTCATAAGACTCCAGAAAGGACCAAGGGTCAGTTACCAGGCAGAGCAGCCACAAGGCCTTTGCAAGGCCCTCAGGGCCCCTCTCCAGTGGTCCCAGTTGCCCCTGTCAGGCAATTCCTCTGTGACCTGTGTTTATGGATGCTGGGGTCACAGCAGACTGAGTCCTGCCCTCACAGTACACCCGCTCTGGGGTGGGGGAGGAGACAGGCAGTGAATCCATAAAAGAGTAGATGAAGGAGAAAGGCTCAGCAGGCCATGAGAGGGGGGCCCGGAACCCTCAGGGCAGAGGTGACATGAGATTCAAAAACTGAACCAAGCAGTGGAGCCAGGCATGCTAGGGAAGGAGTATTTCTGGCAGAGGGCACAGCCGTGCAAGGGGTGTGGCTGGGGAGGGAAGTAGAGGGAGCGGCAGGCAGGGGGTAGCAGGGGCTGGGTCCAGTGGACCCCATGAGCAATGAGCAAAGCCCATGGAAAGGCAGGTCATGTGAGGGGACATGACACACAGCGCATGCACACACACACACACAGCTCTGATAAACACACAGACACTTGACACTTTTTACCTGCACCTGGGATACCTGCTTTCTCCCCGATTCTATCCATTCCTCAAGCCCAACTCAGCTGCCACCTCCTCCAGGCAGCCAACATTCACCACCTGGTGGGAAGGGCCACCTCTCCCACTCCCACAAGCCCACAGAGCTCACAGTTTATTTATTTATTTATTTATTGTCTTTTTTCGTGACCAGTAAGGGGATTGCAACCCTTGGTGTGGTGTCGCCCACACCGCGCTCAGCCATTGAGCACACCGGCCAGTCCTACATAGGATCCGAACCCGCGGCGGGAGCGTCGCTGCGCTCCCAGCGCCGCACTCTCCCAAGTGCGCCACGGGGCCGGCCCAGAGCTCACAGTTTAGACCCACACTGCCTGGCATTTTTCATCCTACATTTAGGAGGCATCCACTCTGGGCCCAGCCCTGCACTGGTCACTGGGGCTTCAAGAATTAATGCACTAGGGGGCTGGCTGTTTAGCTCCGTTAGTTAGCATGGTGTTAATAACACCAAAGTCAAGGGTTAGGATCCCTGTACCCTTCAGCTGCCAAAAAAAAAAACATTAAAAGGATTAATGCACTAGACACACAACAGTAAAAAACAAAAGAAAAGAAAACAAAAAACACTCTTCCCTCAGGGGGCTCAGTCTTGAGAGAGTAGAGAGAAGTGAGAGAAAGAGGAATCAGTCACTGCTCTTCAGTTCCAAGAAGACCAACAAAATGGGCTTATGCAGAAAATCAAGGGCCAGGGTGAACTTCAGGCACAGCTTGATCCAGGAAGCCCAACAATGACAAAACACACAGTTTCTCTCCATCCCTCTGACGGGCACTTTGCGGAGGTGATAAATGGCCTTCAACAGCTCCAGATTTACATCCTCCCAGCTCAGCAACCCCAGTTCACAGTGCTTGTCTCTCTCCTGATAAATCCCACCAACCCCTGAAGAGGCTGGAGTCAGGTTGTTCAACTTCCCCTGAGCCACACAGGCCAATGGGGACCAGACCAAACCAGAGTTCTGTTAGGAAGGAGGAAGAGGGCAAGAGGGCCAAGGTAGATTCCTGCCACCCATGACGGCATTCCAAGCAGCAGGAGAGTTATAGCAAAGGCCCAGAGGCTGCATCATTGAGGCTACTTACTGCTGGGAACAGAGAGGATGAGCCCGTTTCGGTCTCCAAGACCAAAAGGTGGGAGGGACATAGCAGGAGAGGTGGCCATCAGGTTGGCAAGGATTGAAAGCCTTTAGAAGGTAGGCACGGGGGCCGGCCTGTGGCTCACTCGGGAGAGTGCGGTGCTGATAACACCAAGGCCACGGGTTCGGATCCCATATAGGGATGGCCGGTTTGCTCACTGGGTGAGTGTGGTGCTGACAACACCAAGTCAAGGGTTAAGATCCCCTTACCGGTCATCTTTTTTTTTAAAAAAAAAAAAAAAGAAGGTAGGCACGGGAAATCAGGTGGTGTCCGAGAGCAACAGGGAGTCACATGTCGAGGGTCAGCCAGGGAGGGACATGGCCTGACCCCACATAGGGAGTGGACTTGACAGAATGAGGCTGGGTCTGGGAAACCTTGAAAGAGGCTCTTCTAGAGTCTGAGAGGGAAACTGATCACCTCCTCACTGCCGGGTCACATAGGAGACCCTTCATGGGGTTTATAAAATTGTGTGAAAGGATGCTGACATTGAAACAAGCAAGTATTAATCAATTACAAATGTAGCAAGAGCAGGGAATCTGGACAGGGAACCAAACACGGGTGTCACAAGGGATGCTGGCCCAGTCTGGGGAGGCAGGGATATCTTCTGCTGAGGAGGAGCCATTTAGTTGAAAACTTGGGTAGTGCAGGGCTGGGAGGATGTTCCTGGCAGGGGGACATGCAGGTACAAAGGCCCTGGGACTGGAGGGGACAAGTGATACACTCAAGAAATCCAGAGAGAACCCCATGGCTGGAGCATGGTGAACGAGGGGCAGAGCCTCTGCAGAAGCAGTTGGAGATATTAGTGGGCTATACTGTGGGGGTCTGGCTGGTACATTTGGATGTTTGGGCTCCTCGTGGTAACAGTAAAATTGGAAGCAGGTGATGTCTGGGATTGGATTTGCTTTATACTGGATGGAACTGGAGGGCGGCTAGAGGGGAGGCAAGGAGCCTCAAGAGGAGGCCGGCACAGTTGAGCAAGAGGCAGGCAGCTGGAACCTGGGTGGTTGCCATGGAGACAAAGGGAAGCAAGTGGGCTAGAGGAGGGCTCTGGAGGCCAAGAGATGAGCCTTGTAGATAGAAGGAGATGGGATAAGGAAAGGAAGAATCAAGATGCTGCCCAGACGTCCAGAGCCATTGAGACGGGAGGCTGGGGGCAGGTGGGGATGCAAGGTAGGAATGAATAGGGTTCCCTTTCAAGCTGGGCTGATCGGTTACAGCAGCCATTTAAATAGAGGTGGTAACTGCACAATTGTGGATAAACTTAATACCACTGAATTGCTCACTTAAAAACTCATTAAAACAGCAAATTTTATGTTTTATACATATATATATATTTTTACACCACAATAAAAAATAGGAGAAAAACCTCAAATGCTCATCAACTCAGACTAAATAAGAAACATAATTCCTCAGTTGCACCAGCCACATTGCAAGGGCTCAGTAACTCCAGGTGGCTGGGGAGGCACAGACATAAAATTTCCATCATGGAAGAAAGTTCTACGAGGCAGGGCTGGCCTGCTGTCCCTTCTCACCTCCACCCAGGTCTCATTCCCTAGGCAACTTTCTTAGGGGCTGCCCTGAAGCCACACGCAGGGCCTAGAATGACCCCGAGGGGCCCATAACAGCGTCTTGGTTGAATCCCGATGTTCATGGTACCAGGCAGGGTCCCAGCAGCAAGCAGGAGCTGCTCAGAATGGATGATTCAGGAGAGTCGTGATAAAGCCATCACAATTTTCAGTCTGGCTGGTAGTTGGTTAGAGCACAACCTTATAACACCAAAGTCACAGGATCGGATCCCTGTACTTACCAGCTTCAAAAAAAAAAGGCGGGGGTGGGGGCTATTTTCAAACGTATGGACAGGGTTTGGGTAAGTAGTGGGGTGGTGTAGAACCCAGGATGAGTGACAATGGGAGTTGTCACCATACCCAGGCTGAGGCTCCCAGACACAGAGAAGCAGGAGAGGCTGCCTGGCAAGAGATGTGGTCTTGGGGAGGGGATGCCAGGAGGAACAGCAGGGAAGGTCGTGACTCCTCCTGCTGTGGATTGAATGTTTCTCCCAAGGTCAGTGAAACTTAATCACCACTGTAACCTTGGAGGGTGAGAAATCCTAGTATGATAATTGAAAGGTGGGGCCTCCCAGAGGTGATCAGATGTGCTCATGTGTGCTCATGGGCATGGTTCTGTTGGTGTTAAAAAGAGAGCACGTGAGAGTCTCTCTTGCTTCTACCTGTCTCGCAATGTGATAACTTGTGTCCCTGAAGTCACCACCAAAGAAGGGCCTCACCCAATGTGCTCCCTGGACTTTGGACTTCCCAGCCTCTGAAACTATAAGCAATAAATTTCATTTTCTTATAAATTACCCAGTTTCAGGTATTTGTGTTATAAGCAACAGAAATGGACTAATACACCTCCCTTCTCCCACCTCCTGCCAGTGGTCCCTCTGGCTGATTCTAGTGGAAGGTGGAGGACCCGAGTGGATCAACCTTCCAGAACTTGGAGCAAGGTGGAATGAAGGGGTCGATACCCAGCCCCACTCAGCTCCTTCTTATGCACTTCGCTAACCCATCACCCACCCTTCATTGCATCTGCCTGGAGCCCCTGGACACCTCCACCCCATTGTCTGTTGGCTGGGACCACCATGTCCTTCATTTTGAACTCTGCCCAGGAGATGAGCCTTGCATCAGCCAGGAAGCTCTGGTTGCAAGCAACAGAAACCAACTCCAGTCAACTGAAGCTAAAATCGGGTTTATTGGAAGGATCTAGAAGAACCCAAAGAATGGACAGGAAAGATGGAGGGACAGGGCTGTGGCCTGTTCAGAGTGTGGCTGCTCCCATCCTGCATGACTTCCCTCGAATGCTAAGCAGGGGTCAAGGCCACGCTCAGGCCACCCCCCAAGGGCAGACAGAAGCAGGCTCAGACCAAGATGTCTTTTATATACATAGTTTATTCCTCCCCATTCCCATGCCACAACCCCAGCCCCCTTCCAGCATGAAGCTGCCCACCGCTCCGCCCCTCTCTTGGGGGCTGGGTCTCTGGTGGTGTGCAGGGGAAGGAGGGGCAGCCCTGGCAGGAGGCACTGCCCTGCAGCCTCCCCCAGAGACGGGGCAGAGAAGGAAGAAGGCAGGAGACACAAGACTGGGGCTCAAATACTCAGAAAGCCACATGACAGAAGACAGAAAGTAGCACACCCCGGGGAAAGCCAGGACGGGAAGAAACCAAGGCCAAATTACCGCCCCACCCCCACCCCAGCAGAAGCATCATGCCCCCAGGACTCAGGGCAGCAAGGGGTGGGACTGGGGGGAGAAGAAGAATCTGGGGATGGAAGAGTCCAAGGAGGGTCCCACCCTGGCCTCGGACTCCTGGGCACAGGGCAAGTGAGGCCCGAGGGGCTGCTGCGCTTGGCCGTGCCCAGGCTGATGGAGGCTTACAGCTTGGTCAGGTCCAGCTTCAGCTTGTAGGGTGGGAGGCTGTCCTCATAGGTGTGTGATGGGGGAGGATACAGGGACCAGTCTGGCTCTATCATGAAGCCCTTGTGCTGCTCCAGGGTCAGAGGCTGCAGGGAGAGAGGGAGGAGGAGGGAAGGGAGGGAGGGAAAGAGGGAGCCCCGCCATCCCAACAAAGCTCCTTTCCACCCCTGATTTCATGATGCCCCAACTCAGCATGGGCGTTCCTCTCCCCCACTTCATAGGGGAGTGGAGAAACTTGTCCAATGTCATGCAGCAGGTCAGGGGTCCTTGTGTCCATGGCAGGGGGTGGACAAATCCAGGTCTAAAGAGTAGCTCTCTCTGCCTCCCTCCACTCCCTCAGCCCAGCACCACCCACTAGTGCCACCCACCTGGAGCTTGAGATGCTGGCCTGGCGCGGTCACCAGGGTGGAGCAGCTCAGCCACAGCATCACCAGCACAGACAGGAAGAGGCAGCAGGCCAGGATCCAGCGAGGCAGTCCCGAGCGCCTGCCCCACCCAGCAGGTACCACTCAGTTGCCCCAGCCGGGGTCAGGAAGACCCTCAGCCTCACCCCCACCCCACCCCCAGGGTCCTGCCACCCACCGGGACATGCAACTGAGGAAGTCATTGTCCTGCGGCTCTTCAGACTCCAACTTGGCCTTGCTGCTGGTCTTGACTCGGATCCGGGCCTTCCTCACCTTGTCCAAGGGGCCTACAGGGTCTGACAGATAGTTTCCCACTTAGCAGGTTCCAGCATCTGCCAAGAGCCTGCAGTAGCCATGGGGGAGAAGAGAGGCCAGGACCTGGGGCACTCGGGCATGGAGTCCCGGAATGGAGATCAGAACCCTGGGAGATGGACCATAGGACCTAAGGAGGTTCTTAGAACCACAGAACCATAGAACCATGGAACCCCAAGAGACGGACCATGGAGCCCTGTGAGATTAACCATGGGACCTGGGAGGTGAATGAAGGAACCCTAGGAGATGAACCAGGGAACCCTGGGAGATAGACCAAGGAACTCTGAGATAAACAATGGAACACTGGAGATGGAACATGGAACCCCAGGAGTTGAGAGATAGAGATCCCAATCATACAGGGTCCATTTGCCAGGAGGACTCCTTGTGGCAGTGGTCACCCATGGAAGGAACAATGGTCTAGGTTGGACCTTACCCACATGCACCTCCAAGGCCTCAGGATGGGATCCCCGCCAGGTCACCTCCACTCGCTGCAGATGGCCTCCCTGGAACCCAAGGCTCTCTACTACGGGCTGGGTCTGGGCCAAGAACAAGATAGCACAGAGAGGCTCATTAGGAGGGTCCTGATAGGCACCTCTCTGTGCCCCAGTGGGCTAGTGTCCCATGCACCTAGTTCTACCAGAGTGGAGGAGGCTATGGGCTGTGGCCTGTGATGTCAGGGACGTTGTTCCCTGCTGTCATGAGCCACTCCATTTGCCTTAACTCCACCCTTGAGCTCCCAAACTAAGAACTTGACCCAGGCCAAGCCGACAGAATCACAGTGATTGGCTGAGGGATGGTCACATGACCCAAACAAGACCAATTGCAGTAAATCCCAACTTAGTTAAAAACCCCAGAGGGCTGGCCCGTGGCTCATTTGGGAGGGTGTGGTGCTGATAACACCAAGGCCACGGGTTCGGATTCCTATATAGGGATGGCCAGTTAGCTCACTTGGGAGAACATGGTGCTGACAACACCAAGTCAAGGGTTAAGATCCCCTTACCGGTCATCTAAAACAACAAAACCCCCAGAAAGTGGGCTGCTATAATACCAATGTCAAGGGTCCAGATCCCTGGACTGGCCATCAGCCACGAAAACACACACACACACACACACACACACACACACACACAAAAAAAAAAAAAAAAAAAAACCCTGGAGAGGTTGTAAGCTAGAGCCTCTGGCATCTACCGTACTGTCAGGAGAGAAGCACACGTCTGATAATGAAGTCACCAGAGGAAAGCAGAATCAACAGGAGGAGTGAGACACTGAGCCCCTGGATCCAGCTGTGCCTGAAGCTCGCCTACGGTGGACTTTGCATCTCATGAGCCAAGAACCAATGCATCCCACCTTCTCACCCTGACCACCCACTTGCCACTCTGGTGTGGCCCCTGCCAGAGCCCTCACCTGGAACACCACCACCTTTCCATTGTCAGTCTGCAGGTAGTATGTCCAGGTGGAGGAGATGAAGCCCTGGGCTGAGTTGACAAGGTCATTGCAGAGGGTGGAAAACAAGTCCAGGAGGGAGAGGGCCCCGCTTGGAGCTTCCAGGACCTTTCTCTGGTGAGGGGAAGCCCAAGGCACAAAAATGTCACTTAAGTAGGGCATTAACCAATTGGGACAGGGGAGCTGAGAGAATTCACTGTGATTGAATTTGGTTAAGTGATTTGGAACCACAGGGCTTCATATAGTGAACACAGACCTTAGCACTGCAGTTGGCTTGCCATGCACCCTGGGGAAATGGATTGCCTTCTCTGAGCCCTGAAATGGGGGTGACTCTCTTTCCTCATGGGGTTGCTATGAGATTTCAACTAGATGATGTCTGCCAAGTGCCACGAGCACCTAATGCATAGTAACTGCTATTACTAAAAATGTCACCATCCTCATTATTCTTATTTTGACAGTGTCCAGAGGGAGCTCCAGATGGGAAGGGCCAATAGTGCAGTGCGCTTTTCTAAACAGTAAAAGCCCAGAGAAGATGGAGCGAAATGGATGAAGAGGAAAAGGCTTTCTGGGGAGTCCCAGTTCAGGGGTTTCTGGCTATGCTGCACAACTTTCTGTGCCTCAGTTTCCCCTGATGCATCATTGCCTAGACTCGCCCATGGACTATGACAGGTGAGCAGTTATTATTTCTCCCCCAGGATGATGTGTGTGTGCTTGGGAGGCTATTCCTCCCTGAACCTCAGTTCTGAGCCCCTCCAGATGAAGTGACCACCTGCTCATCACAGGGTAAGTGCTTAGGCCAGCACCTGGCAGCTCTGGTAGCACTGAAGATGCATGAGGTGAGGAGTGGCCAAACCTTGCCTCTTGCACAACCCTAACTGTGGGACCTGGGCAGTTTCTCCCTGGGCACAAAATACGGGTGACACTGTTCTTGGTGACTCTAAGTGACACAAAGAATTTGGGACAGGCTGGTATCAGGCCTGAACCAGGACAAATACTTGATAAATGGTGGCTGTTTTCTGCCACCTTTCTAAAGGTGGTGGAGGATGGGGGGTGGAGGTTGGTCCCCTGTCACAGAGATGACAACTGAGGCTGGAGACATGACATGGCTTGATTGAGGTCACCCAGGCAAAGGAACATGGAGCCTGGGAGAGTCTAGATGTGAGTGCAGATTTGGGGATTAGAGGGGAGGTGGTGGGTCTGGGACCGCAAGTGGGAGGGTGTCCACCTTCTGCTCCAGCTGGGACTCGGGCTCCGGCTCCAGGGTCTGGCTCCAGCAGCCCTCACTGCAGGCCTGCTGTTCCATCTCCTTCATGTAGGCTTCCACACAGGCTGCAGGGGGGAGGAGGGGTTGACTGGGGTGGGCCACCTCTCTTCACCCTAGCCCACCCACCTGACCAGCCCTCACCTGCTTCACACTCAGTCTGGGTGGCATTGGGCTTGGAGCTCCTGGCCACAAATCGGCAGATGGAGAAGAGGCGGCAGCCACGCTCGCAAGCGCTGATCAGAACGGCTCTGTCATATGGGGACTCGGAGGAGCCCTCAAGCCCAGGCTGGGGAGGTGGGAAACACGTGGCTCAGGCAAGGGGAAGGGGCGGGAGGAGGCGGGGGACTGAAAGCATCCAGGGAAGAAAGGAGAAAGTTTGGTCCCCCTCAATTCTAGAGAGATAGGGATGAGATTGAGGGAGGCTGAGGATATTAATGGGGGCTCTCAGCTCTGCGGAGGAGAGGGGGAGGGGCTTGAGAAGGGGAATGGGCCATGAAATACACAATGAGTGGGGCAAAATGGGCCCCCCCCGTGGGCTCCAGGGAGGAGGGGACGGATGGAAAGGGATTCCCAAGCCCAGCGGGGCACTCAGAGGAGGAGGTTTGGTCACCCTCTGCATCAGGCTTGGGCGGTGACGATGATATGACTAGGAGCTGCTAGCCCCGAGGAGGAGCAGGGAAGAGGATGTGGAAGAGGAGGGGGGACCCTCAGGCCTGAGGGAGGTGGGGGATAAGCGCCTGAGGGTCCTTGCGCAGCAGAGTGCAGCGGAAGCCTGCGAGATGGCATCTGGAGCCTCAGTTCCAGCCCCACCCACGCGTGGAAGGACCCCCTCACGCACTTATCGGAAGAATCTACATGCCCAAACCCTCCCCTACCAGAGGGACCCACCGCCCCTCCTCCGCGGAAGGAACACCCCCGTCCCTATCGGAGGAACCTCCGGCCCCTCCCCCAGTGGAGACCCTCCCCCCCGGCTCTCGACTCCTCCCCCTCCCCGACCCTCCGAGGGACCCCTGTCTCCTGCTTTCATCCCAGGCAACCGCATCCCCAGCGCCGCCCCCATCGGAGAGATCCCGGGTCCCAGGACTGGCGCCGCACGCGCCTCACCTGCGAGGGCCGCGGGCCGGGGTCGCGCTCGCGGCATCGCAGCTGGCAGTTCTGCGTGTCCCCAAGCTGCGGGGCGAACGGGTCGCGGGCGGGCGGCGCGGAGGCAGCAGGCTGCGATGTCAGCAGCAGCAGCAGCGGCAGCAGCGGCATCGGCG